ATGGCTTCTCTGTTCTCAGCATCTTTCTCCTGCTCAACACCTTCAACATGCCCTCATCTCCAGCCGGTCTATGACAATGTCCCTATTTTACAACGTGAGCTACTTCCTTGACCTAGACTGCACAGAGTTGGAAATATATCAAAGAAGAAAACAAAAAAAGGCAGACTCACATCATTGCGTAGATCATAGGCATGTTTGGCATGGAGAATTTCAGGAGTGTCCCAGACGTAGCAACCAATGCCTTTCAGCCAGTTGAGGTCATCCTTGTACACGATCTAGAGGGTTTCAACAGATAGAGGGGATCAGGAAAAAAATTAAAAGCTGATCACAGCATCAACACTGCACAGCAGGCATGCTGCAGACACAGGGTGTGTGTGCGCGGCATGAGAAGCAAAGGGCGAGATGCAGTGAGGACAAGGTGCCATGGAAGCACTGCACACGCAGGCCTGCTTCCAGAGACCGCTCTGAAATCAGGCAGACCCACGGCTATATGATAAAGCAATAATGGAAAGGGGCGGGGGTGAAGACACGAGGGAGTCTGCTTGTGTCCAGTGTGGGTATTTGGGGCAGCAGGGGGTGGGGAACCCTCATGAGCAATGGGCTTACGTCGCTGATCTGATCCGTGACTTTCCTGACGTGACTGTTCACTTGCAAGTCGGGGTGGCAAATCCATTCGTGGAGGTGCAGGCGGTAATCGATCTCACTGACTTTCTTCTGAGAATCCTTGGCAGTAACCATCTCTACCATGTCAGGCACAGTGTGGATCTTCATCTTGTTTTTCTCATACACTGATCTGTACAGGCGCTGTGAAGTTCAAATTAAATGCATTATATAGGAAGTTAAGCCAAGGCACCATGGCAGTACATGCCAGAGGAATCAGTGTAACCGATTTACACCAAGCAGCTGGAGGCAGGGTGGGGACTGAATTTTCCAGTACTTTCTATAGACTTTTTAAAACTTTTGTCAGAGGGCATATGCGCTCACTGGAGAGAGACACCAAGAGAGAGATGCAAAGTGAGAAAACAGCCCCCCCCCCCCAATGGGGAATGGTCACACTGCAGTCTCTTCTCTTTCATCTTCCCCTTTTCTCAGCATTTTGGGAATACAAGCACATGTGCCCAGCATATTTCCCAAGCTGTGGGGGTCAGGACTTAAGCTATTGGGTTGTTCGGAAAGTATTTTTCTATGCAAAAATGAGTCATGGCTTTCCTGACAACCTAACATACGATCACTCATGTAGGATCCAGCTGCCTTAACGGCTAGCTAGACATTGGGAACATTTTCTTTTTTGAAAAGCTGCATGGATTTAAATAAGGCTCAGCTTCTTTGCAGGTGCACAGTCACTGTTTCATAGAAACGTTCTGCTTTACAACACGTGGCTATTTCACTTGACTTCAGTCTGAAGTCAGGCCTTGGGGATTACGTACGTCAATGTTGAGTTTGCCAACTCGGAGGCACCGTGCCGTGTTCGGATCATCGTCGACACTTCTTGGTAAGGTGTAAAGAGCTTTGAATTTTTCATATTCTTCCCGATATTTGATCTGTAAAGTAGAATGGAAGAAACTCAGTTTTACAGAATAGTGGATTTATATTGTTGAAAGAACAAGAATTACTGGGAAGGCCCTGATCCTAGGACTTCTTTGACTTGGGGACGCCACTTCTCTGGGTGCACTCCTTGTATATAGAGAGCCATAGCATGAGCACCTGCCTCAGGGCTTCCATGAGGCCTAAGTCAGGCTGTATCTCAGACTATTTTCAAACATAGAGCACTACAGAATTTTAGTACTGATTTTAAAACACCTATACCGCTACTAGAACTTTTGCTGCTATTATAACCAACTGATTTTAAAGATTATGTCATTTTGTTTGTTTGTTTAGAGAGATTTTTGCTATAGGGCATGTGTGCTCACTGGAGAAACAGAGAGAGACAGAAAGTCAGAAATCACTCCCCAGGGGGATGGCCACACTGCAACCCCTTCTCCTCCATTCTCCTTTTGGGATTTTGGGCATGCACACACATGCGCCCAGTTTGAGTTTTAAACTGCTGGGTCCTGGACTTGAACCCTGGTCGACTATGTGGGAGTCCATTGATGTAACCATTATGTCACCTGCTGGTCCCAAGATGATGTCATTTTAAAATATTCTTTTTTGATAATACCTTTGTTCTTCTTACTATGGTAAATGAAAAGTTAAAACCATGCTTAGGGATCTCTTTGTTTTCATTAACTAAAAATCCTAGTGCTTAAGAGACACAATCCTTGAATTTCAGTTTCTACAAGGTTTTCAAAAATGAAGCACAGTCAACTTCTGCAGGAAAGCTTTTAGTTCTTCAGCCATGTCGTCGATATAGTCATGCTCCGTGATTGTATGAACTAGGGGATAAGGCAGGGACTGAGGCCAGTCTCCCAGCACATGGTAATGAAACAATCTCTTATGACCTAGAGACCCACATCTCACTTTAGAGAAAAAAGAAGAGGGCGGGGGGAGATGAGAGTATCCATACTAGAATTCTAGCAAAGCCCTGCATTGACTGGAGACCGACAGAAGTTTCCATCATAATAGAATATTCCAGCTTTTTACCTCTAACATGGTCCTCAGATACAAAGAAGATAGCACTCAAAAGCACTCTTTTTCCGAAAATACTTTCTTTTTAACTAAGGCTGGAATTGTTTCTTTTAAAGATTATTTTTTTTTAAATCTTACCTTGTTCCAAAAACTACTTGCCAAGAACTCTGCCTTTCTTTTTTCATGACCAAAGGAAAAAGCCTTTTTTGGACTTTACAAATATTATCTATAAAACTTCCCAAATGAAAAGATTGCTCCTCTGAGTTAATCTGTTCATAGTCTTCCAGAGCTGGGCCCAGGTAAATTCATAGACCTTAAATTTTCCTCCAGGTACAAAATTCAGTAATTCCATGTACTGTCTAATGAAGTTTTTTTCTTTCTTTTTTAAAGAATTATTTTATTTAACTTTATTTTTTTATTATTATTATATTATTTTTTTTCCAGTTTGATCAGAAAGAGACAGAGAGAGAGAGAGGAAACGTGAGAAAGCAAACCATTAGGTTTAGTACTTGAACCATGGCTGGCCATGTGAGAGCCCAGTGCCTTTAACCACCACACCACTTACTGGCCCCTATTGAGGTCTTTTTCTTAAGAAAAAAGACTTAACCTATCCACCTCTAAGCACATTAGAGAGCAGTGAAATCAACAGTCTGGATCACCAGTATTTAAATGAGCAGAATGGAATGGAAATGATTGGAGCGTATTATCTCTGGCTAGCAGTAAGCACCCATGCTAATACATTTCTGTCAGAAGAAAAGTTACGTAACTTCAGGGTATGTCACACTGCGGGTCATGGCCAAAAAAACTTTGAGAAGTAGTCATCTAAAGTATTATATAAAAAGTTCATAATTAAGAGGTAAAAGTCTTCAGTGTTGCAAAAAGGGAACTGAACATTTGACAGTGGCAATGAGGGTTATAGGAAATTTTCAGTAGAAGATTTTACTTGAAATATTAAACATTAAAAGTCCTATGATCTTATATTGGGAACTAGCAGTTAGCGTAATGGCTATTTCGCTGGACTCCCACGTAGTTGACTGTGGTTCGCGTCCCGGACCCGGTGGCTTAAAACTCACGCTGGGCGCGTGTGCATGTGTGCCCAAGATCCCGAGAGGAGAATGGAGGAGAAGGGATTGTGGCGTGACCATCTCCCCTGGGGGGTGATTTCTCGCTTTCTGTCTCTCTGTCTGTCTGGCGACAAGCACACACGCCCTATAGCAAAAACCTCTCCAAAAAAAAAAAAAAAGATCTTATATTATATTTAAACAGCTCATGTGATTTAGGGCATATTTGTTTGATTTTTTTGAATCTCTTTTTAAAGAATTATTTTCATTTAATTTTATTCATTCATTCATTTTATTTTAATTTGACCAGACACACACACACACACACACATACAGAGAGAGAGAGAGAGAGAGAGGGAGGGAGAGAGAGAGAAAGAGGGAGAGGGAGAGAAAGCAAATTCGCTGGGTCCAGGACTCAAGCCGTGGTCAACCATGTGGGAGTGTCCAGTGCCTTAACCATCATGCCACCTGCTGGTTCCCTGAAGTTTTTTTGTTTGTTTGTTTGTTTGTTTTTTTAATAACATATCTATACCAAAGAAAATGCAAACCTTGGAAAAGTAGAATTTGGAAAGATTTCCAAAGTTTTTATTTTGGTATTATAAAAATAAGAATCTACCATTTAACCACTTAATTGTAGATACTGTAATAATCATATATCACTGGTTTACTTTTGCCCAAAGCCCACATAATTCCATTGGAAAATAGTTTATTTTATATGGTATCTCTGTCTTCTACCCTCATTTCTGGTTAAAACAGAGACTATCTGCCCAAGCCTTCTGCAGCAGGCAGCCACCTGTGTCCTTCCAGGTGTGTGTGATCCTCTCTGGACTGCAGGGCCCTCAGGAGGAGGCCATGAATTCAGACTCTGATAACTGAACACCTGCAAGTACTGTACTTGCTGCCACCCCATCCCTGTGGGAGTAAGCGGAGTGCTTATGGTCCACACACGAATTAGTCAGAAAAGTTCCAAGAGTGGAGAGCAAGGAAGGGCAAAGGAGGGTGAGAGGGCTGCCGTGTTTGCCTTGACTTACGTGGCTGGCCAGGTGCTTCTGGTTCTTGGCATGTGTCAGGGACAAGGTGCTGGAAGGCAGGATGTAGCTGGTGGCTTTTACTCTGTCCCACGCCTCCTTGTACAGGTTCTGTATGGGTTAAAAATCTTATTGTGATTATGGGAATATGGGAATATCTGTCCCTCTCAGATAATCCTTGCCAAACCCAAGCACTACTCTTCACTTTGGAGCTTATTTAACTGGACATGTAAAGATTTTTTAAAAAATATTTTATTTATTACTATAATTTAAAAATTTTATCAGAGAGAGAGAGAGACAGACAGAGAGAGAGAGAAGAAGTGAGAAAGCAAGCTGCCAGGTCAAGGACTCAAACCACAGTTGGCCATGTGGGAGTCCAACATCTTAACCACCATGCCACCTGTTGGCCCCCATACAAAGATTTTTATGAGATACAACAGGAATTTAAAGGTTCAGGGAAACACTGGAAAAACCTTTGAGGGTGGGCACTTATCCTACTTACTTTCCCATTGTCTCTGAAAGGGGAAAGGAGGCTCATGTGCAAAGGAAAAAGCTCAACTCACACTGCTGTAAAGACTCTTCAGATTCTTGGTTCTGTCATAATCCACCGTTTCTAGAACTGTGGTGTATTTGTCCTTGATCTGATGATAATTTTCTTTATATTTCACCTACAGACAGGAAAGAATGTGTTATTCATGTCTGTTGTTGGCAAATATATAAAGACAAGGAACAGCTTGTCCTTAGAAGAGAGGTACCGGGGGACGCACCTCGCTGGCATTGATGCCACTTTGAAGAGCAGTCACGTAAACTGGCGTGTCAGTGACCAGGTTATAGTTTTGTAGATTTTCTTTACCTGCTGCCGTGTATTGTAGCTGTGAAGAAAAACAAAAGTCATCAAACATGGTGAAATACAGGTTGTCAAAAGCTTGAACTGTTTTGTGCCAACGTAGATGCGCCTGTATTTCTGGGGTTCTAGCTTTAATCCTGGCAAAGAGGCTGCCGTTCGACAGTCCTGCTGACTTTGGATGGCTGCTAACGTGAATAGTTTCTCTTGACCACACGTGGGGTCTGGCTCTTTGCCAGGCCCCCTTCCTCACTACGTTGCCTTTTCCATGCCTATATTCCACCCTCACAGTAGCTCTTCGCTTTCAGCCTTCTGTTAGATTTACCCCATCAGAGATGACCCATGTACTGGGAAATTTTCCACAGATAGTTGATTTTTTTTTTCCTTTAAAACTCATCTACTTGTAGACAACGTACACTTGAACATCCTATTCTCTGACAGCTAACCTGGTCAGTTAAGGCACAGATGCATTAAAGGAACTCACTACGAACATCTCCCACATAACTTTCTGCTTTAAATGAGCACTGCCTTCAACAACAGCAGAGACTCATGCTGAGAGGGTCCAGCGCCAAGCAGGCCACCAGGAGACGTTTGATTGCAGCAGGGAAGGGGGCCTTCAGTTCCCTGAGATCATGCTCTTCCTCCGACTGAGCAGACACAGCCTGGTCAGCAGGCATTGACACCACAGTGGCTTCCCATGACCTGAGAGTGCCAGTCCTTCCAGCGAGATTGGCTCACCTGACTCTGGAGGTCATATGATTTCTTGGCATGGAGGATCTGGGGTGTATCCCAAACATAGCAACCAATGCCTTTCAACCAATTCAAGTCATCTTTATACACATTCTGCAAGAAAAAAATAACAAGGGACAATGGCAGGTATTCCAATGTTACAATTGAGCATTATAATAATTTCTACCAACTGATGATGGTATTAATGCTAAGAGGACACTGGGTAGAAGGTCTTTAATTTCCAGCATAAAGAAGTTTAAAAGAAAAAAATACCTAAGTCTTAGCCTAGTGCTAAACAGATGAAATAATCAACATAGGTGTCTTATGGCTCAGAGGGGATTCTTACACCCAAAGCAGCATTTAGGAATACAGGGACAACTGAACTAGGTCGAACTG